GGTTGCTCCAGCAGATGATGGTGCCGCTCGCTTTCCTAGGCTGCTGGACGGAGCTGCTGCTGTTGATGGGCTCGAGGCAGGCTGTATGGGAGATAGTTTATTGGAAATTCAAAGCAAGATGTGCGAACACAGTTTTATGAAAAGCAGGTCTACGCATGTTGTTTCTGCTGTGGGGATAGTGGAGGCTGTCGGTGATGAATTACACGAGGTGCCCATAATGTCTAATGATGGGCCTTTGAATGTGTTGGTTGATGATAGCATTGGATTTGTGGATATTAATAGAGAGTCAGCCCAACTTGGAGTGTCAAATTCCGTATCCAATAGTTCCAGATTATTAGAAGTTCCAATTATAGAAGCTTCTTCTATTCAAGGCTATGTGGGCGGTATTCGGGTATTTCCATCACCGGTTGACAGAGACACAGTCTCTCCTAGCTCCGATGGAATTTTTAAGTCTGTTGTGGGTAAAGCAGCGAGGGGTGCTAGTAAAAATTCAATCTCGGAGAAAGGTGGACAGGTTCTTTTTAGTGCTCAATCCCTTAAAAAGAAGAAAAGCGTTAAGGGTAGAAGGAAGAGGAAAATTTTTGGAAGTTCTCAAATTCGGATTGGGTCTACAGTTGAAGAGTTTTTAGTTCAACCTTCTAGAAATGATATTGAAGCAGAGGCATGCTTAGCAGTGGCAGATACGTTGGGCGTGCAGTTTGGTGCTTCAAGGGAGAGGGTCCTCCAGAGATAGGCGTCCAGTCGTCAATCGGGTGAGTCTTGAATCCGAGTTTAGTTATTTGGGTGTGAATTTCCTGTGTGTTTTTTAGGTTCTTATGGATTTTGGTCTTTCTGTATTGTCGTGGAATGTAAGAGGGTTGGGTAAGGCTGAGAAAATTAGAGCAGTTAGTCGGGTTATTAATTCAAATAAAGCTAGGGTGGTGCTGTTGCAGGAGTCTAAAGTTGTGAACTTACCTGTTGGTGTTGAGAGAAGGTTAAAGGGTAGGTTTGTTTCGGAGTTGGTTTGTGCTCCGGCAGAAGGTGCATCAGGAGGGTTGAAATCTTTGTGGGATAGAGATTTCTTTAAAGTAAATTGCAGTAATGTTTACAAGAGATTTATAGTGTTGAAAGGTCTGATTGTGCATCTAAACTTGGAAATAGGCATCATCAATGTCTATGGTCCGAATACCCATGGCGAAAGAGTGAGTTTTTTTGATCAGTTAAATCTCATTATAGAAAATCTGAAGGTTCCGATTATTGTGGGCGGGGACTTTAATATTGTCAGATCGGACTTGGAAATAACAGGGGTTCACAATATTTCGTGTTCCACGCTGGTTTTCGAAGATTTCATTTCAAAGTGGGACTTGGTTGATATTCCTATTTCGGGCAGCGTTTTTACATGGTTCAGGGGAGGTTTGAGTACAGCAGCCAGTAGGCTCGACAGATTTCTAATTTCGGCTGACATTGTGTGTTTAAGTCCGACACTAGTGCAAGCTACGCTTCATAGAGGCTTATCCGATCATAATCCTATCTTGTTATGTGAAGGGAAGCTGAAGAAGGCTTGTAGGCCGTTTAAATGGTTCAACCATTGGGCTGACGACCCTTCCCTTGCTGATAAAATAAGGATGTTCTTCGGCGCAAATCATGGGCAAGATTTGAGTCATGTTCTGTTGTTAACCAAGAAGGTGACTAAGGATTGGGTCGAAGCGAGAAGAAATTCAAAGTCTGATCCGGTTGTGGAATATGAAAAAAAAATTGATTCTTTAGAAAAATTGTGTTTGGTGAATCCAACTGATAAGGCTACTCAGGCTGAAATTATATCAGTTAGGGCGAAGCTGTGGGCGGAGTATAGGAAGACGGAAAGAGAGTGGTTGCAAAAGTCGAGACTAAAATGGTTTAAGGAAGGTGATAAAAATACAAAAAAATTTCACCTCACTGCTGTGCTTAGAGGTCGTACGAATCAGATTTCGAAGTTGAAGGTGCATGATTCGGTCTTCAAAAATCAATCAGGGATCCAACATGCTTTCGTCAATCACTTTCGCTCTTGCTATAACGAAGTTAATACTATTCCGTTAAAGAAGTTTGATATTCCGTTTAAAAGGATCAATTTTTCTTCGAGTAGATGGATCGAAAGGCCTTTTTCGGAAGAGGAGGTTTGGTTCTCCATTCTTTCTTCGGATGGCTCTAGAGCGCCCGGTCCGGATGGGTTTAGTTTGGACTTCTTCAAGAAATTTTGGATGTATGTGAAATCTAATGTTATGAAGTTTTTGGATGATTTTTATTGGGGGAAAATTTCAGATTTCTCCTTCAATAAATCATTTATTACTCTAATTCCGAAGAAATTACAAGCTGTCTATCCTGAGGACTTCAGACCTATCTCGTTGGTGGGGAGTATTTATAAGATTGTGGCGCGTGTTTTGGCGAAGAGAATGGCAGCTTGTATTAACGAAGTGATTGGCGAGAATCAGTTTGCTTTCTTAGCCGGTAAACAAATATTAGATTGCTCCTTGATAGCGAATGAGGTCGTAGATGAGTTAAAAAAAAATAAAAGCGAAGCGGTTATGGTTAAAGCAGACTTTAGCAAAGCTTATGACACAGTAGACTGGGATTTTATGAATTTTATTCTAAAGAAAATGGGGTTTGGAAAGAGATGGAGGAAATGGATTCACTTGTGTATTTCGACGCCTAAGATTGCTGTGTTGGTTAATGGGTGTCGATCGCAATATTTTTCAATTAAAAGGGGCCTTAGGCAAGGCTGCCCGCTATCACCGTTTTTGTTTAATGTGGTTGGAGAAGCGCTCAGTGGATTATTGAAGAAAGCAGTCGCACTCGATGTGTGTCGAGGTGTGCATATTGGGAGAAGTAATGTAGGTGTTTCACACATCCAATTTGCTGATGATTTAATTCTTTTCTCGGAAGCAAATGAAGATAAGATCCTCAATTTGTTTCATGTTCTGAGAATATTTGAGGTCGTAGCTGGTCTGAAATTAAATCTGCAGAAGACGAAATTATTTGGTATTAATGTGGTAGATGAAAGAATTAAAGGATGGGCTATCTCGTTGAGGTGTGATTCGGCTAGGCTGCCAACATTGTATTTGGGACTGCCGTTAGGTTATAGGAAAAATCGCAAAATGATGTGGCAACCTATTGTGGAGAAGGTCAGATCCCGTCTTCAAAGTTGGAAAGGAAATTTACTCTCTTTCGGGGGTAGGATTACACTGATTAAGTCTGTCTTGATAAACTTGCCGGTGTATTACATGTCGTTATTTTCTATGCCAAAATCCATAGCAGATATGATTAATAAATGTATATCGAGTTTTCTGTGGAATGTTAAGGCTGATAGAGGTATTCATTGGATTAAGTGGGATATGGTTTGTGGTCCGAAATCTCATGGTGGTTTGGGTTTTTTTGATGTTAAAGTCAGGAATCGTGCGTTGTTGAACAAATGGATTTGGCGCTTTAGTGAGGATACCGAAAGCTTATGGAAAAAGATTATTGTTGCTAAATATAACTATGATCCTCTCGCGATTTTACCCAAAGGAATTTCCGCTCGTTCCTCAAATGGATTATGGAAAGAAATAGTGTGCTCGGTGATATCAAATGAGGAAGATTTCCTACTCGATGTTCGGTGTGTTATGGGGAATGGTGTTCGAATTAACTTCTGGTCTGACTTCTGGACTGGTGTTCGTTCCTTGAAGGAAGCTTTCCCTAGAATATATGGGTTGGTCACTAATAAACAGGGCAAAATCAGTGAGTTCGGAAGTTGGGTGAATGGTTTGTGGTCTTGGAACATCGAGTTGAGGCGAGAGTTGTTCTCATGGGAAATTCCAAGTTGGAATCGTTTCAATCAAGTTATTAACAGTGGAGTTTCTACGTTTCCTGGGGTAGATAGTTTGAAGTGGCCAGGGGCTTCTAATGGCATCTATAATTCTAGAGATTTTTGCATTAAGTTGGCATCGGTCGGTAAGTTACAAGATCCGTTATGGTATAAAGTCTGGAACAAATTCGTACCTCCCAAAGTAGCTGCTTTTGTTTGGAAAGCGATGTATAGCAGACTGCCGGTAGCGTCTGAATTGATGAAGAGAGGGGTTAATGCTAGCGTTCAGCCTCTTTGCCTGTTTTGCAAAGAGCACCAGGAGGATGTTAGCCATGTGCTTTGCCATTGTAGTGTTGTTTGGCAAGTGTGGCAAAGGTGGTGTTACTTATGGAGAGTTAGGATTATCTTCCCCATCGATGTTAGACAGCTTCTACAGGTGTGGTCGTCACAGTTTATTAGAAGGAAAGTGAGGAATCTTTGGCATCTTGGCTTTTTCGGTTTAATTTGGCAGATTTGGTTGTGCAGAAATAAATCTAGATTCAATGGCGCTTCATTCACTGTTGATCAGCTATTCAATTTGGTATTACTGCAGGTTGGTTTTTGGGGTAATGTTTTATGGCCGACACTAGTTCCTCAAGTACTAGATTTTGTGCGTTGTCCGGATGCTATTATATTTGGTTGCGGTTAATTGAAGTCCTGTGGTGGATACTGTGTTATTTCTGAAAGTTCTTAGCCAGAGTGTTGAACACTCGCCCAAGTCTGAGAGCATTCGAATTACTTTCTTTTTGGGTTGATCTAATGCTAGCTTTTCGGTTCAATTGCTGCTTGATATTCCTGCTTTGTTGATCCGGTTTCAGTTTGTGAGGTCTTTAATTCTCAGTGCTTGGCTTCACCCTTGTTTCGGTTGCTGTTGTGGTTTGTCTTCTAGTTGTAACGCTATCTTTCCTTGGGTTTAGGGTCTGTGTATTCTACGTCTTTCTCATTTTCCATGGCAGTGGTTCGTGTTTGTTGTCCATGAGTTGGGCTGGGGATAGATTGCATGCAACTGTTTCCAGAATATTTCATTTTAACCGCCTCAAGGTTACTCTTTTTCCTCCACTTAGGCTTAGGGAGGTTTTTTAATGAGGTCCTCGAGGTGGTATACTTCGTAATCTCCTCTAATACAAAGTACCCTCTTTCAAAAAAAAAGTATAAATAATAATATTTTAGGTAATTTTTTACCGATTTTATTACAAAAATAATAAAACTAATAATATTTTTCCTTAACCGTATATTAAGACTGTCACAAAATAAAACTTCCCTATTTGATGCTGACTTATATAATCTCTGTTTTGAAAACCGGACCGGACCGGACCGACCGGTTCAATCGGGAACTGTTGCCTAGTCCGGTTCAATCTAAACCGGTTGAATCGTTACTAGTGAACCGGCCAGAACCGTTGAACATTTCGAACCGGACCGGCTGAAAACCGGAATTTTTTTTTTTTTTTAAATTTAAAGCAAACATCGTTTGTTAAACGAGCCAAATCGAACTCGAGTATTGTTGAGCTCGACTCGAACTTGAAAACTTTAAAAGTAAGCTCAACTCCACTCAAACTCATAAATTAAAAATTATCAAGTTCAACTCGAACTCGAAATATAATATTGAAACTTGAACTCAAAAAGGCTTGAACTAAAAAAAAATTTAGAAGCTCAATTGAAGCCTAAAATTCGAGCTTAATTGAAGTGAAAGAATAGTTCACTCAATGCTCACCAAAAGGCTCCATGATTTTGAATGCCAAATTACCTCTATTATTTATAGAAGTTAGTTGTGATGTTCTTCTATGTTTCTTAGCAATGTGAGATTATTTTGTTCTCATATTTTTAGTCTTTAGACTTTTGAGATGCTCTTCTATGTTTCTTAGCCATGTGGGATTGTTTTTTAAAAAAAAAAGTTAAACCAAACAATATCATTTTTTATGATTTTTTTAGTCCCAAATTTATTTTTTAATTATAGTTATATAATTATATTTATTATTTAATATGTTTTACCTTAAATATTATGTTGTAGTTAATTTGAATCATTTTGTTTCACTTGATTTTATGGTTTTTAATTTATATATGTTATGACTTGCTTTGAATATGACTTGTGATATAAAAAAATATTTTTTATTAAATATTTTTGATATTTTTATTTAATTTTTTAAATAATTATGACGTCGTCCGGTTCTTCCGACCGATCAGACCGGTTCGACCAATTGAATCAATGAACCGATAACATGACCGGTCCGGTTCTGAAAACCATGCATATAACTAATGGAATAGGGTCTGACCAAAATAGTCTAGGTTTTGAACTTTGAATAACTACTTCAAGGAAGAAATATTTAATCCATTTTCTTTTTTTATAAAAAAAATATCTCTAAATTTACGCACTCGTATAAATCAAGTTACTCGAGCTTAGATCATTAAAGAATAATAAAATTCTCTTAATTACTAAAACAACTTCGAAGATTCATATATTAATACATCATTGAAAGTTCATCATTCGTTGATTATTTACCCAAAAAAAGATGTTGATGACAAGGAAAATAAGTTGAAAGTATGTATTTTTTTTATTAATTGTAGCCACTCATTTTCGTCCGATCCAATTATACAATATAATATAAACGTTTTATTTATATTATGAAAATCACATGGTTTTTAATACATATTATATCTTTAATAATTTTGGGTTTTTTTTGTGTAGGCCCAAGTCAGTCTTGCCAACCCCACACATTCAAAGAAGAGTAAGGCTTCCTGGCTCCCCCTTTAGTGCCGCCTGACCAGCTTTGAAGGATAAACTGGTGAGAGTCCCAACCGCAACCAACTCTCATTCCACCTTTCCCGGCGACGTGTCCTCGTGAGGCTCCAACAAACAACGAAAAGCAAGAGTTTTAGTCCTATTAGGACTCTAAGTCGAACCTAAAAATAGGATTGTAAAGCACTATAAATAAATGAAGAAGCAATGTACCAAGGGGGGATCCTTCTGTAAAATCGGAAACTTGCTTCCTTGTTCAATTAATACAATATGGAAAGAAAGCAGTAGCCTTTTTATAGAGAATGATCAAGCTTTGAAAAATGTTCTGTCGATTTGAAACACATCAAGCAATCAACATATTCAATCGAAAACAAATATAAAGAGGAGCACGCCCAGACAAGAAGCAATAGAAAAGAAGAAGAATAATTTTCATGAGGTATTTTAATGCATTTTCGATTTCCAGTGTATGTGATGTGTGTGTTTTATATTTTGACATAAGCAAATCAAAAAGAAAACTTTCTCTTTCGATTGACGATATTTTCCGGCGACCGGAGTCTTTATTCACTAATATGAACGGTGGGAAGTTTCATTACGGTGAGACGAGTAACATACTTCGGAACCAAGACGATCTAGCGGTGGACCGTGACGGATCGGAGCAAGAAATCCCGAACTGTTTTCGGCTCTTTTTGTGGCAATCTGAGCATTTTCTAGAGAAACGACCACCGGATTTGGACTCAGGTGACCGAAACGAGTCACTCTGTAAAATTTAATAATGAACGGACACCGTCGACGATGACGATAGACCGATGAAGATCACCAAAACCTATAGCCGGCTGTGTAAAGAATGGAAAATTGACATTCTGAAAACACGCGCAAAATGAATTGAGATGCAGAGATTTGGTTTTGTAGATTTTTCTGGGTAAATTATACCCAAAGCCACTAATTTTTATAGATTTCAACTTTCAGTCTACAAACTTTATCCTGAATTCAATCTAACCCCTAATTTATTTTTATGATTTGATCTAATATTTTTATTTAATTATTATTCTATTTTCACTAATATTTTTTTTGCAATTTTATTACTTTTAAAGTATTATTTTTATATATTTTATTTTATTTTTCCCTTTTGATTTATTTTATATTTATTTATTATTTCTTATCTAACGTTTTTTATTTTTTTTTTCAATCAAAAGTAATTATTTCGAATTTAATTTTTAAACTTTAATTTTCGCAATTAAGATAACTGATAAAGTAATTGGTACCGAAAGGGCGGTTCAATGGTGCTAATTCTTCCTTGACCGTAACCGACTCTCGAACCCGACACATTTCTGGTGAAACGCAGATCAGGTAAGATGGTGTCCGATCTACCTAAATATCATTTTTAAAGTGATCGATGGCGACTCTAACCCAATCCACATTTTTCAAGTCGAAGCCCGATTCCGGGGCCCGACCGAAAGACGGTTGCGACATTAATATGAGGTAATTATATTACAATATTTGTTTAAATATAATTTTTATTAATTATTTAATATTAAAAATTCACACTTTTAATATTTATGATATTCAAACTCGATATTTTAAATAATAATAATAATTTATTTACTAATGAAGTGGTTGAGTTGGTGCTGAAATCAAGCGAGGAGTAGATTCCTGGCTTTGCAATCGCATTCATTGGCAGTTTTGCTCTTACATGAGACAGCGCTGCAGTAGGTATCTAATTACTTACTACTGCTTTTGGTTGGCACATTTCAACAAACATTTAGATTTAATTACTTCGGTCCTCCTTTTGTCCTTGTTTTCGTTAATAATTAATTATATATTTAATATTTAAATTATTAATTTTGATCTAAACTTTTAATTTATTCAAAATCATATCTAAAATTTATATTTTGTTTTATTTTAGTATTCATTTAAAATTTAACATTAAATTTTAAAAAATTGAAAATTTAGTTACTAAAACGGTCAATAACTGATAGTTCATATATTAAATGCGTTAAATTTTTTAACGATTGGATAAAACAAAACAAAATTTAAATATTAGATATAATTTTGAAAAAACTAAAAATTAAAATACTAAGATAAATAAAAACTGAGATTACACATGCCCTTATCGTCAGCATAAATGCAAACGATTCATAGCATAGGCAGCCGCCCATCTGGAGTTTCAAAAGGTTTGATTTTCAACAACTTTTATTATGTTTTTTAATTACCCTTTTTTCTATAAATAACATTATGATCAAGCTTATCCATCTCCAGTTGCGGTAGCCATGAACTCTCTCGTTCGAAACGCCACCGCGAATTTCAGCCGCAGAGTCGATGGCTACGAGCTCTTGGATCGAGGCGAGGAAACAAAGGAAGAAACTTGGGGTCAATACAGGACGTTTTCAAGGAGGAGAGCTCAGAGCGTGGTGGCTTCTTTGAGTTACAGGCGAGATCGAGCTAAGAAGAGGCAGATTTTCTTGAGATCGTACAAGTTATCAGCCGTGGGCGGCGACTGGGGAAAGCCCAAGACGAAGCCGACGAGGAAACTGAAGACGATGGGGATTAAGGTTAAGACGGCGGTGATGTCGCTGGTGTCGTTTATGAGGATCGGCTCGTTGAAGTCCTGTAATTGCCGATCGGCGATTTCTGCGGCTGTTCCGATATCGTTTAAGAGTTGTTGTTGAATGTTGAATATGGTTTTGAGGAAGGTGGGCTGTATAAGCTTTACTTTTTCCTCTGGTTAGTATTATATGAGCTTTAACTTGACAGTTGACACTTCCTATGTTTAGGTGAATAACAGCAGCAAAAATCAAATGGCATCTATTCCCAGCGATTGTTTGATTGCATTTAGATGTTTGATTCATTCTCTACACTGCAACAGATTGCTCTCTCGTCTCTTTCGTTGTTTACGATCATAATCGTAAACTAAATATATAATTAAAATATTTCTTTATAATCATTAATACAATAAATTAGTCACTTGATATTAAATAAAGACTATATATGAAAAAAAGTTAAAAGTCTAACCAAGTATCTCTAGTAAAAAAAATATTATAAAATATTTCGTTTAAACTCAAAATTTTTATAGATAATAATATTCCGTTTAATCACATTTAAATTTTAAAGATGATATTATTGATAAAAACAATCATTAATATCAAATATAAACAATAAAGCATACATTAAATTTAAATACTATTGTAGATATTACATTCATAAATGGACCCACGTTCTATGCTTTCTTTGCCTAATGTCTTATATTAAATTTAAATTCATGCGCATGGCGCTGTGCATCCAGTCCCATTTGCATGCCCACTTTAGTTTAAGGGTTTAAATAAATTACATTGTGATATAATCATTTCGTTGGTGAATAAGAAAATAAATAATTTTTTCTTTAGAATATTTTATTAGAATTATTTTTTAGATAAACCTGTAATAATTATTAAAATTATTTAATATTATTAATAGTTAGTGTCTGATTAATTTGTGAAGTTGGATAATTTGCTAAAATAAATAATATAGATTGTGATATTACCTTGGATTCATGACAGTGGTGAAGCTGGAAGACTCTTTTAAAGGGTTAAAAATGAAGTTTAAAATCTTGGAAGGGACTGAAATGCACTTTTACACCTTTAAGGGACGTGATTGGTATTTGAATCTCACACATAACCTGTAACATCCCAAACTACGAGTTAGTGACTAAATTGTAAAATTTCAGAATATGATGATTAAAGTAGAATAGTTGAATAGTTTAATGATTTATGTGGAGATATTTCCTGAAAATTGTTAGTAAATATTAAAGGAGTCAAAGGGCAAATGAGTAATTGAACAAGAAAAATAATTAAATAATAATTAATGAGTATTATAATAACCATGTGGAGAATGATTGAAGAGATAAGCTTCAAAGCAATTCTCTTCTTCATCTTCTTCTCTTCTCCACGTAAAAACTCAAAGCAAAGGTGAGTTCTCTGATTTCTTGATTGTTTGTTGATTTTAAGCATGGGTTTTGATCCTTAAATGATAACTAAGCTTAAGGAAAGATTAAGTTATCTTAAAATCAAAAGATAAAGGAGTTATGATAGATTAAAGAAAATGGGGTTTTAAGTGAAATTTTGAATAAGAAGGTTTAAATGAATTTGGAGGATAAATTTGACTTGTTATATATGAGAATAAGAAGATAGAAGTGTTAGAATTAAGTTTGGATAACATGGAAAATTTGGTATGATTATTGATTTCTATATGGAGAATAAAATTTTGAGGTTTAAGATGAAATAAATAGATATAAATGAGTTTAAACATGTATATTTGAGTTAAGAATATGAAAGGGAATGAAACTTGAAGAATTGAAGTTGAAAGAGTGAATTTTCGTGCAATGAACAGTGATTTATGGGTAGGCGCATCGATGCATTAAGGGGTGCATCGATGCATGGATATTTCAAAGCTATTCTGTGTACCGATGCACCCATAGTGCATCGGTACACCCCTAAAGGAAAACTGAATTTTTGGGTTCATTAAATTAGCTCAAGTTATTAGTATTGAATTATAAGGTTTAGGCTTCTGAAATTCATCTCGGAAATTATGTTTATGTAGATATTGAGCCTAAACAAATTCTGGAACAATCAAAGAATTAGGATTGAATCAAAAACAAGGCTAAGGTGAGTGCAATTTAAATTGTACTTATGTGATTGATCAAACATTGGCTTGCGATGAGCCAATGATGGATTTACTATGGTAAGAAGTAATTTATAAAACGTTATGTGATTACTATGCGTGCATTATAAAATCAATGATTACATGTACATGTGATACATGACTGAAAAGAGAAGGTGTGCGTTTATAAGAGAAAGGATATGAATAAGTAATGTGAATTGTTATAAATGATAATGCCCATGTTATGTGATTTGAGAGCTAGGGGTATAGTTGGCATGCCAATGGTCGAGGGTTTACCTATGTTCTTCAGGGGCATATGGATTGTTTACCTATGTTCTTCGGGACATATGGACTGTTTACCTATGTTCTTCGGGACATATGGACTGTTTACCTAGGTTCTTCGGAATCTATGGACTGGTCCTTCGGGACATTTATACGAGCTGTGGTGACAGCATAATTGTTCACAACCTCAATGTACTCACATACCTTAAGTTCTCAAAAGTATACATGGACTAATACATGGTCTTTGAAGAGAGTAAATAAATTAATTGATTTGATACTATGTATGTTTTGTTGTGAAATAGTATATGTGTTCCATGGTACGTATAAAAATGTTCGGTATATACTTATACGATAAAAAGGTATTAAAGAGTTTGCATTATCATATGTTATCATGTATACTGAATCATATGTGATATGATTGAATTCATAAATTGCATGTTTATATTTATGAGAAATGCATTATTATTATGTTTATGTCTCACTAAGTCTATGACTTAGCGTGTAAGTGTTTTACACGTAGGTACCGAAAAGCAGATAGATCCATTATAAGCTCAGCAGAACAATATATCTCCACTTGAAGGTCAGATCAGAAGTAAATTAGGTAATATGTTTTACCATGTGATAAATAGGTTGACATGTAAATGAAGTAGATAAATTAAGTATTTATGCTCTGATCGAGTTTTGTAATATTTTAAACGTATTTATGTAAGTATAAATGCAAAGAAATGAACGGTTAAATTTTTACGAGTGTTATGTACAATTTACGAAAATCACTGTAGCAGTACTGTTCATATCATATTTTATTATTCATAAAAGGTATATTTTATTAAATTGATTATAACGAGCATAATTCAATAATATATGATCGTATTTTCTTAATATAATTTCAAATGTTTTGTTATTTTGTAAGAAAATCGTTTGAAAAAGTTAATGTGACATCTCAGATTCGTATCCGGATCGAGTACGGGTTAGGGTGTTACATAACCTCCAACTGATATAAGTTTTTGACTACTTTCTGGTTCAGAAGAAAACCAATACAAAAATGAGAATAAGTAAGAATGAAGTTTGGGGTCACCGGCATCATTATTATTTTTATATATTTTTAATATCAAATTTATTAATAAATTAATTTAAATTAAATATTATAAAATATTACTAGAAAATAAAATTTTACTTTAATTTATTATATTTATGACAATAAAATTTAATTTTCTCTTTCTATTTAAAGGTAAAAAATATCGGTGATTGCTGTATTTAAAAAAAAATCAATGTGACATTCATATAATTATTTTTTTAAGGTGATCCTCTGACTCAGAAAATAAATTCAATGGGACTCTTTGATCAACGTTTTTCATCATTTATCATTACGATACTGACGTGACAGTCTATTGATAATGTGACAGATATGTTAAATTGGTAACTTAAACATGATAGATAGACTCTCACATTAACAATGTAGACTATCATATTAACACCATAAACTATTACGTTAACACCGTAATTATAAATGATAAAAAATATCAATCAAAGTGTCATATTAGATTTATTTTTTAAATTAAAATATTACGTTACGAGAAAAAATAATACGAGGGTCAATATTATTTTTTTCAAACGTATAAGTACATCTCTGATGCTTTGCTTACCTTATTTAAATCATCTTAGAATTGATTAATAGTCTGTCTAATCCATCCCTACCCATGGTTTTGATTACCTATTTCTTTGACTGCAGCGCCTGCTCTCTCCAACCTCTTTCGTTGTTTGTTTTGTACTTTCTGCACTTTATTAGACAATAACCCATCAGAAATGGGGTCAGTGCTTCTGGATTAAGGTTTCAGTTTTTATCCCTGTTGTTCCATACAGAACGACACGTGGCATTTCTTCTCCAAATTAGACTACAATTGCATAAACTCTATAATCCTTATAATAAAGTTCAACAGTGACACATGCCAAGTGTACTGGCGGAAGCAGTTTCTTTTTATTTTTTACTTGAACTGTCTGCACCCACTTTCATCACTTTTCAAACCCACTCCTCCTAACTATTAACACCCATAACCACCAATCATCCATTCATTCATGCAGATGTCCATAACCAATTCCCCCAGAGCTAATCGTCATGAACCAGAAGCTCAAGATCTAGTTTTCACTTTCAGGGCTTTTTCCCCTTAGTTCTTGAAGCATGTTCGACATCTTTTTCGGCTGGAGGAAAGCCTCAAAATGGTAATTGTCTTTAGGGGGGGAAAAGAAGAAGCTTATTGGATATGGTGTTTTATTGGTTTTATTTACGTGAGCTTTTGCATTTGCAGTAAAAAGCTTGTCAAGCGTGTTCAGTGTCGCTTGAAGCTCTTGAAGAACAAGAGGTTTACGATTGTGAAACAGCTCCGGGAGGATCTTGCTCAGCTCATTAAACTTGGTTATGAAGAAACTGCTTTTAATCGGGTAAAGGAGACGAGATTTGTTAAGTACTCTTGTTGTCTTCTGTTTTTGAGTGCTGAACATTTCCGGTTTCAGGCTGAGCAGCTTCTTAAAGATGAGAATCTAATGGCAGTCTATGATATGTTGGATCAGTTCTGTGAATTTATCAACATTCAATTGTCTTATATTCGGAGAAACAAGTACCTTTTCACTCTTAACAACACTCTTCCTTTTCACAATCGATTCATGTTTCCGATCTTACTATGAACAATTATGGTGTTTTAGGGACTGCCCGAATGATATCAATGAAGCAGTTTCTAGCCTTATATTCGCTTCTGCAAGATGTGCCGAACTTCCCGAGCTCACCGCGATTCGGAAGCTCTTCGGGGAGCGTTACGGGCATCGGTTCGCTACGTCCGCGGTTGAATTGCTTCCCGGAAATCTGGTGAACCGTGAGGTTGTACATTTGATATCCTAATTGTTGGTTTTTCTTGCCTTTTATCATCGATTGAATATTGATGCAAAACATTCGATACATTCCGGATGTAGATACAAGAGAAGCTGTCCGTAAAGTCGGTGTCCGATGATTCAAAGTTCCTATTGATGGATGAAATAACTCGAGATTACTGCTTACAGCCTGAAATTTTGGCACTTGGATACTTCCCCGATTTGCAACGCCTGGTAACTAGTTTTTGATGAAGTCCTACATGCTAATGTGACCATAAGTGACAAAGAATATCCCAAATGCAGGGTTCAGATGGGAGTGAAATGGAAGCCAAATCCGTACAAGTCGATCCATTGCAATTTCAATCGACAGCTGATTGTCCGAATGATCGACAAGGCCGGAACATCGACCGGAGAGCAACATCTTCCTCAGAAAGCGTGCCTAGGTTCTCCGAGGAAATAGTTTTCTATCTTGATGACATAGAAGAGTTACAACCCTCCATGAGAAAAGAAGCAGTGGATTGTCAGGACCAGAGACTATTCAAGTTCAAGACACTCAGCCTGCCTCGAAGAGCAATGGTTGTTGACGGCACCGACGGTGACGGCGAAACGGACAATGAGAAGCCGAAGCTGCCGAACAAATCAAGGCGGAGGTCGTTCTGCATTGAACGTTCAAGCATGAAGGACGTTGATCACGAGATTTATTACGAGAATCACAAGCATAAATCTCATCACGGCAGAAGAAAGCTCCACATTAAGTAAACATTAGCAGAAAGTAAAGAAGCAACTTATGTTCAAAAGAAGCCTAAACAACCTTGCTGCATTGCTCAAAACTCAGGGCAGTTTCCGGTTTGTGTTGCGGAAGAAATTCTGGATGACAAGTTTTACCATTGCCAGAATCCAAAGAGGAGAAGCTACGACAATGGTCCGAGTGTGCATGAAGTTTTGGCATTGCCGAGAATGCAAAAGGCGACTGCGGGTGGTTCCGAGTTGAGAAAAGGAACGGCCGGTCCATATTTGAGAGCCGTAACAATGCCGCAAGAAAGACCGAGAGAGATACATAGGTACAATGTTGCTCGGTCGAATTCATTGTCCGTCCACAACGCTAATCATGTCCATCCCAAGCTTCCGGAGTATGAAGACATAGCAGCCAAATTTATAGCTCTCAAGGAGCGTCTGCTACATAAGCAGTGATGAACATTACCTTAAAGTACTATTGTTTCAATGGATTTCTTTTGCACTCAAACAACTTTTGTTGTGTTATGAGAGAAGGGTATGTTTTGTTTCGGACAATTTGTTTAAACTTAAAATAATGTTTTAAAATCAAAATTCCAAGAAATTTAGGTAAACAAAAAATAGTAATATGATTCCTTCATAGAGGAAGCTTTTTGCAACAAATTGACAACACATGTAAACATATAATACCATATATTTCACATTGAATGAACCAAATTCCATTAAAATTCAACCAAGAATGGCAACAACAATGCTAAACGCACTCTCTCCTTTGGAGAGGGCCACACTGATTATAATCACACTGCAGATAGTAACTAAAAGAAAACTATTTGAAGGGGGAAAAAAGAAGTAAAGGACCCTTTTGAGCCATTGTCATGGACCAATTGTTTGTTTTACTTTGTAATTTCAGAGCTTGAAGTTAAGGCGAGTGGTGTAAGTTGCTCTTGGCGACTAGTCTCCGGGAATTACATCTTTTGCGGACAGTGTTCTTCCGGTTGATAATGTTGTTAGTTTCACCGAGAAGGGTCCTTTCAAGGGACCCTTAATAATGCACCAATTTGCTCCCCAAACATGGCTCATCTCCATCCACTCATTAGAATTTGCCTACCATTGGCAACAACATCTAATTTCTCAATATCCATTCATATACATTAGCATTTTTTCTCGAAACAAAATATTCAGATACAATTTGATCGAACTTATCGAGTTCAAACGTCGTTTATCTAAATTGGTGGTACCCCCATCATATATGGTGATGTATATGATGATCAGCTTTTGCCTTTTGGGGTTTAAAGGGAAGACAAAAGAGAATGAGAGAAGAATGTGTAAGATTTTTTTTACATTAAATATTTATACCACTTATATTTCTAGTATTCGAATCTCGAATCTCAAATCTCAAAGAGTACTAATAATTCCTTTATTAATTTTATTACCGAGATCATTTGGTTTGCTGAGAACCTGTAAGATTTGAGTGTGGGACTGGGGTCAATAGTATCACATGCAGGGGGAGGGTCAATATTCAAGAAAATACTCGAGTAAACAACTGAAGAAAAAAAGGGGGGTTTTGAGCATTTTGCACATTGGCACCATTTACATAAAGGCAATGTTTTCTTAATAAAAGTGTGATATATGTGGGCCTAATGGGACCTATTTTAGCAGACAAATCCAATATTGGGACTACCATACCTTTAAACATGGGTTAATATTAATAATGGGATACTACTAAATGTACCAAATTTACTAAATCTACCTTTAAATAATTATTTCCTCCACTACCTATTACCATTAAACAATCATTTCTTCAACTACTCATTAAATAAATTCCCTACTAAAAAAGTCACTATATATTAATAATCATCCATTACATGATAAATGAAAGCAAAAAAACGTGAGGTGGGAAGTAGGGGTGTATTTAGTTCGGTTCAGTTCGATTTTTTACCAAAAATTGAACCGAACCGAAATAAACAGGTTTTCAAAATTTAAACCGAAACCAAATGGTTAAAATACCGAAAAAATCGAAACCGGTTTTTTCGGTTCGGTTTTTTGACGGTTCGGTTCGATTTATCGTTTTTCAATGAAAAAATCACTTGAAACTATAATTTTTTAAAAAAAATTACATATTCGGTTCAATATGGAACAAATGAGTTACATATAGAAAACCCGAACCAAACCAAATCAAAAGAATTGAGACTTTAAAATAATTTAATTTTAGTAGGATCTGATTTGTTTAAATTATTTCAATTTCGATTTAATTTTATTTTTTGTTACATATTAATTTTATTTTTATTTGAATTTTCAGGTATCACAAATTTTTTTAACGTCACAAATTTTTTTAATCAAACAAATTTATAACAGATCTAAAACTTTTGATCGATTAACTCCCAAAAGATTGCACTTTTTTTTGTGGACAATGCCAATGATTACAATTATCATGTTTCCAAAGTCACTTGTAATAAAAAAAAAATAAAAGGTGGTAAGTTTAGTAATTTTCTTGGTACATTTAGACACACCCTAATAATGAAAGGGTTTTAAAAACATTCTGCCATTCCTTTTTAAAGGTATGGGGCACTACATTGATTTTAATGTTATTTTTTTTCATGTAAATATGAGAGTAAAATCGAGGGTTAGTAAATAGTGAATGAGAAGAGTAAAATTTATGGGAAAAGGTGAAGAGGGCTTACTTCTCTTATATGCATTGACCCAACATCTCCATCACCATCCTCAAACTCCACCATGAGAGAGCCAGTAATCAGTGGAGCCTTCATTAACATGGAAGGCAATGTTCTTCCCTGGGTAAACATGGGATCCTATAATCTTCATTTTAGAAATTAAATAAAAATTGTGTAAATGTAAATAAAAAGGAAATAAATTAGCCATACCTTCTATAAACTACTAGTAGTTCGCCTCTGTTCCTGAGCTGCGAATTCTCGCCGGTTATAGCCATACGGCCAAAGGCGGCGCCAGTTAGGTCGAAGTGGGTGCGGCCATTGGCGCAGTACATTCCGGGACACTCGTCGGTTACAATGATGGTGACGGCTCTCCTCGAGCATATGCTCTTGTCGAGGCACTTCACTTTGAAGCATGACCCACAACCTTCCCCTTTCTTGAACAGCACTGGGCTCACCTCTCCAACTCTTGCCTTCAGTGGCTTCACGTCGACTAGTGACCCGTATCCACATGCCCCGCCAGCACAATATCCTAAACACAAACCACCCGTTATTGAAGTAAAATTCAAGCCAAAATCTTGAGTTGCAGATCTAAAATGCAGCCGGTGGTGGACACTTACCGTCGCTACCATCGCCTTCAGGACTGCCGTACCAAGTGGCGGTGGCGGGATGCCAATGTATGTCCATTTTGTGCGGCGCCGGGACCTGACTAGACACCATAAAACACTGCAGAAACACAATGAAGCATAATGTGACAAACCCAACTCCACCGCGGCGCTGCATTGTGTTAACAGGCGGCACCACCGCTTGTTCAGCCTTGGACGGTGGATATTAATTTGACGAAAATGAAGGGAAAATGTAGGACAATAGTGGAAACTAGTTTCTGCCGACAGTTTATTTTGTTAGCATTGAAAATTTGAGTGTCTTGAAGGCAGTGTTGGGGAGCTTCGTATATGAAGCAGAGAAAAAGAGTGTTCTAATATTGGTTGCGACATTGGGATCCAATAGCTTTGGATTTATTTACGTTGGTGTCACTTTAGCTGCCGGGTCCACCGACAATTTATTTACGTTGGGGTTCTAAAATTTGAGCGGATACATTTTGAGAAAGCATTCCGTTGACAACGTCAATTTTCGATTTTCATGCGTTACAAGATTACACCTATCGATATCGATTTAACCTTTCTTCTTATCTCCGAAATTACCACACAAATAAAAAATCATATCTCACGACCCTGAAAAAGAGGGGAGAATGGAAACAACTCAAGGTCAGATTTGTTAAGTCGAAGAAATCATCGTCATCTTCTTCTTTTGTTTCTGCTTCTGCATCTCAAGATTATTATTTTGCATCTCAAGCTAGTTTTGGTTTTTATCTTTCATATCATACTTCAACCGAGACTCAGTGACTTGGAAGTTCATGTGATGCAACGCAAAATACTCAAGTATCTTCGACAGAATATGCTGGTGAGGGTGAATGATATCATATCATATATGGTCAACAACAACAAAACCAAGTCGATTCAGTTATGTCAATGATGGAATCAAATATCATAAGTATGTCATCACCGCATTTCGAAGGTGGATCTCAGAGTGTGTTCAATGCACCTACTCTTCAACAACCAAACAAATATGTAGAAGAAAACGATCAAGGCGAATGCCCCCAATGTACTCGACG